TCTTACAAGTCATCACTACGCATACTTTCAACTTTATTTCCCTCGCAAGTTACTCTAGGATACTCTCACTGTTTTCTTTTTAAATTTGTTCAAAAAAAACATTCAAAAGTGACGCACTCTTTCTTTTTCTTTTGAGAGGTAGTTTCCATATGCTAATTCATCCTTGGTAAAAGACATCGAGAACAAATGCAAAAGATCCATTTCACCTATTCTATTTCGATAGAGATTCTAATTTGCTAGAAATTGAAATAGCCATCACTTTTTGCTGATCAAACCCTCCTGTCTAACCTGTACCCAGATCCATTTCTTTCAGCTCATGTTGTACTGTACGAGTTATGTTTACAAACGTCCGCCTACTTAGCGTTCTTCTCCTGGATTTTTCATATCGTTGCGTTCACAGCTCTTTCTGCTGTATTCTGCCAAATCGTTTCAAAACAAGCCGTAGGTAAGAGAAGAATCCTTTTTACCAATCAATACTGATTCTTTTAAAACGCCTGGTGTTTAGGCTCCGGCATTCCAGAAGTGAAAGTAATTATGCATGGTTTCAAAATGGACAATTACCTAACATGTCGCACCCTCATCGCTAAAATGGTCGGGTTAACATTAGCAATGGGTGGTGGATTGCCTATCGGCAAGGAGGTACATCGCTAGAAATTGCTTTATTTGATATAACTCAGAAAAGCACTTGAATAGCTAAGAGGAAAATTCTTAATTTGACCGAAATATGCCTGAGTTTAGAGGAATTGTTTTTTCGCTGTAGTAAATGTAGAGTGAAAACGGGCATGATTTGAGGATTAATACCAATTTTTTTCCAAATTATAGCGGACAGAGCAAAAAAAATACGAAATTGCTTCTTTGAGTTTAGTTTTTTTTCGATCTCTCGCTCAAATCTAAACTGAATTCTTAAAACAAGTCAACTCTTTTTTCTAGGGCCCTTTTGTCCACATGGGTGCAATTGTTGCCACCTTGCTCTCCAAAATCACTGCCTCATGCCAGTATTCTGCGTTCTTTTCAAACGAGGGACGAGAAATGGAGATGTTAAGCAGCGGTTGTGCCGTTGGGATTGCCTGCACATTTTCGGCACCAATTGGAGGTAGAGCGTTGTAAAATAAGGGAAAACAATCAAATGAGAAGTTCAGCTGTACTCTATGCTATCGAATCAACATCAAAATACTTTGCGGTTAAGAATTACTGGAGAGGATTTCTGGCTGCTACATGCTCAGCTATTATTTTCCGATTTGCAAACTTCTTTGTCACAGCCGAGCAATCAGGTAAGTGTAAATCTTACTTGTTAATTTCAAAATGCCTAATCGCTTCTTTTTATGTTCTGTCTAATAATCTGTACAGTATTTATGAGGAACTCATGGTTATTATATTGGAAAGGTTCACCACTTCAAAACTCACTTCTCTCTGCTAAAAAGGACATTGTTATGGGGATGGAAACTTTAGAGCTCTAAAGAATCAGTAGCTAAACCTGCAAAGTCGACTCTGCTACCGCTAATGGTTTTAATTGTCAGAAGATGGCAAACAACTACTTTGCAGCATGTCTATAGAAAATAATAAACCCACAACGTGTATTCTAGCATAGCTATTAATATTAGGAGCCTGCCCTCCCTCAGGAAACGCTTTATATTAATGAAGCGCTAGATATTTATTGATAATCTAATCACAATTGTTTCAGGAACGATAACAGCATTCTACCAAACGAGATTTCCGACCGATGCATTCTTGATTGAGGAATTACCGGTGTTTATGTTATTAGGGTGAACTTGTGTCAAATCAAATATGGAAGCAGCATTGGAGTAATCATTTGCAGATTCATAAGTGGTATGATGGGCGCCATATTCATCTTCGCACATCGTCATATATCCATATTTCGACAACGTAACAAAGTGTTCAAGATGATATTCAAGAATAAGTGGGTTTTGTAAATTTGAGTTTGCAAACTGTAATAATTTAACTGGCTAATGACTTGGACTGGCGTAATGAATTCCTATACTTTGTCTAGAGTTAACTCAATCGTAAATTACTTTATGCATATGAGCACGCTAAAAACCCTTCTCGCGGGATAGCTTGGGAAAGTTTTATTCCTTGATTTTCTCCTGTCCCCTATCTCTCTTCCTCCATTCGTAAGTGGTTGTGCTATGAGTTCATAATCGTCTACAGAGAAACAAATTGAAACAAAATCTTCGAAAAGAGGTTTGTTAAATACAAAGAATATGGCCTGCCTGTAGAAAAGAGGTTGGGATCTTGTTCAAGTTCTCTAACTGCAAATAGTTTTAATGCATTTTGATTATTATGTGTGATTCCAGTTTCCTGATGTTCACTGTGTTTATGGCTTTTGTTGTTGGAGTGCTCACGTATCCATTGGGCTTCGGACGATTTATCGCTGGAAAGGTGAGGGTTTTTACTATATCTCAAAATAGACCCATTTCCTGCGAAGGAAAATCGCGGTTAACTCCGAAAAGAACCTCAGCATTGTTGAATTTGCTGCA